TGCCCGGGAACTACAACTACCGCACATACAGCTGACCTGGCCGGACCCGATGTCCTTCTACGAGTTTTCACCCGAAGCACACCGCCAGTCGCAACAGCCCACCAGGCCACGAAGAACTAGACAGCAGACCACGCGCCCCACGGGCGCCAACATATAAAGGACTGCGCACCGCCTACCTTCCATCCTGGGCCTCACCTCGACCCATCCGTGGACCAGACACACACCTCCATAACCGATTTCCAGATCCAGAGACTGTGGACACAATGCGCTAACTCATCCGAACCGCAAGTATATCTCCCACGGGAGACACACCCAGCCACATAAGCAGAGAAGTACCAGGGGGCGTACCTGGGACACAGGAGCCCGGCCACGCGGAGCCCTGTGGCCTAATGGACTAATTTAACCTTTTTATGATAATGCAAGATGCAAGGGTAACGAGGGACATCTGGTCCATATTTATAGGGTTAGGAGAATATAGAGTGTCCGCCCCCCCGGCTGGGTCCGGCCGCCGCCGCCCGCCCGCCTGCGATGAACCTCGGGGAGCAGGCGGGGGATGGTGCCGGCTGGGCACATCCGGGGTGGGGACACAAGGGTTGCAGGGGAGAGGAGCGGGAGCGGCCGCCACTGGGCCACACAACAGCAGGGACACCTCCCACAAGAGACACGTCCAACCACACCGGCAGGGAAGCACCGGGGGCGCCACCCCCCGGCTGGGCCCGGCCGCCGCCGTTCGCCTACCCTGTGATGAACCTCGGGGAGCAGGCGGGGGACGGCGCCGGCGGGGCACACCCGGGGCGGGGATGCTGATAAGACACGGTGGGGATGGAGGGTAAGGTCGCAACCAGACCACACAATCCAGCCTAGCCCATAGATCAGCTACACGCTCTAAACATGTGACAAGGAGGGCACGAACACGTAAGCGACCACCCGAGCGAGCACACCCAGATTGATTAAAACGAATCCAGAGACACGAGTGCCCTCGCCCTGACCCCGCATGAGGGCGCCCCCAAACCCAGAGAGTAAAGGAACAAGGGACGAGTTTGCTCACGCTAGATAAGCAACCCAACGGAGGGAGAGGGGGGAGGGGAGGGGAGGGGGTGGAAGCGCAGCCCTGCACCATGGTAGAAATGTCAACTACTTGTTATCACCTGTTGTGAATTGAATCTATATGTTATTGTTACGGTTTATGCCTTACTACGATATCTTGAACAGACATGCTGTGCAACACACACGCCGGCTCTCGAGCCAACACACCCCGAGGCGGGGAAGACCATCACATCCCATTGAGGTAGCATCCGGGAGCCAAAAAGGGGCGACATGGGACCCGACTGGCCGTACGGAAGACCGACACCGATACACCCTACCACTGCCCAGTAGGAGAGACGTCACTCAGACGGTGAGTCACTCACGGGAGCCACTGGTGGCACCGTGGACTGAAACTCCCCGACGTCTGCACCTGACGGTCCCGAGACCGGAACACACCCACTAGAGATCACAGGACATCTCCACGAATCCCAAGATACCTTATCCCTCTCTCTACCCCACCTTAAACCTTGACACCTTGTCCTCACTCTGACCGCGACGAACGGACCACACCTGGTACACACACACAGTAGGGACTTGGACAACGACACCGATACAGCACCACCCAACAGCCGACTGACCAAAAGACATGACACTGACTCCCGCCCCGCTGCATATTCTCACGATCAATGCCAAAGGACTGAACAAACCAGAGAAGAGATCAGGAGCACTGAGAGACTTTCATAAACAAAGGGCCTCGATAGTCATGTTACAGGAAACACACTTTCAGAAAGGGGCCAGACCCAAACTAACAAACCAACACTACACACAAGGATTCTATAGTGACTACCACGGGGGGAAAGCTAGGGGAGCAGCAATACTTTTCCATAAGAGGGTGCCGTTCCAGGAGGGGGGCTGCTTGTCGGACGATGAAGGCAGGTACCTATTCCTCAAGGGGGAAATAGCAGGCCGTCAGTACACGTTCGCGACTATATACGCCCCAAACACACGACACTACCGCTTCCTCAAACAAACACTCCACAAGCTCCAGGCGTTCAAAGAAGGGACTCTCATACTGGGGGGGGACTTTAATGTCGCATTAGAACCGTCATGGGACACCTCAACGGGCACCTCGCATATCCCCAACCAACAACTGCAAGGCATCAAATCCCTACTCCGGGACCACCGACTGGTCGACTGCTGGAGGGCCCACCACCCAGACGCCCGAGACTTCACTTTCTATTCCCACCCGCACAACTCATACTCCCGCATCGACCACATATACACCTCACACTACGACCTTTCATTGGTAACTGACGTCGAGATCGGAACAGCCACATGGTCGGACCATGCCCCTGTCTCCCTCAAAATAAAGTCACCACTATTTCGCCCCACATCTCCGAAATGGAGACTCAATGAATACCTACTCTCCCACCCGGGAGTCACGACCCTTATAGGCGATAAAATCAGAGAATACCTTACCACCAACACGACGGAGCAGACATCGCCGACGATACGCTGGGAGGCACACAAAAGTGTGATAAGAGGTCACTATATCCAACAGGGGGCAATACTAAAAAAACAAACCGAAGCCCGACTGACCGCCCTATTAGATGACATATACAAAACGGACGAACAAAACAAACGTGACCCAGACCACACACACCAGACCCGACTCCTACAACTGCGAAGGGACCTAGCGACCATACTGCATTCCAAACACCACAGGGAGGCACTTAGAAATAAGGCATTCTTTACCCTACATGGGAACAAGAGCGGTAAGCTCCTCGCTACGATGCTGAGGAAACAGAGACAGCACACATACATCGACAAGATCAGAGACAAACAGGGGTCCCTACACCGACTCCCGACTGATATCATGAGAGCGATCCGTACATACTACACCGAGCTATACGAACTCCCACAACCGACAACTGAACTGGCTAAGGCACACCTTCACCGCTCGATTCAGGAATACCTGACTAAATACCCGATACCGACCCTAGACGTAGAAGTCGCTGACCTGATTGACGAACCCATAACCATTGAGGAATTAGCACGAGCAGTCAAACTCACTAAACCGGGCAAAAGCCCGGGGCCGGACGGCTTACCGGTAAAATACTATAAGACTTACGCCGAGGATCTCTACCCACCCATGGTGGAAGCATTTAACGCGATACAAGAAGGAGACCACATCCCTACCCAAGCCCTGACAGCCCATATTACCATCATACCCAAGGACGGCAAAGACAGAGAGCATTGCGGGAATTACAGACCAATATCGCTAATCAACTGCGACATTAAGCTACTAGCCAAGATCCTGGCAGTGCGACTCACCAAACATATCCCGTCTCTGGTCCACCCCGACCAGGTGGGATTTGTGACAGGACGTGAGGCACGCGACAACACCATCAGAGCGCTCACACTTATGCACGGAGGCGGGGGCGCGGACGGAGGCCTCCTCTTGTTGTCCACGGACGCAGAGAAGGCCTTCGATAGAGTGAGCTGGGACTACCTCTTCGAGACACTATCCCACATGGGGCTGGGTCCCAACATTCGACGTTGGATAGAGGCGCTATACCGAGCACCGACGGCCCAGGTATTAGTTAACGGGGCACTGACTGAGACCTTTACCATACACAACGGCACGCGACAGGGATGTCCCCTCTCGCCGCTACTGTTCGCTCTCGCCCTGGAACCATTCCTCACACACATCCGCCACAATCCAGACATAACGGGCCGGACGACAGGCCAAATACACCACAAGGTAGCGGCGTACGCGGATGACTTACTTTTCGTGGTGACCAACCCCGAGATCACCCTCCCAAACATCCAGAAAGACCTGCGGACATTTGGCGCTATATCTAACCTTAAAATTAACTACGGCAAATCCTACATCCTTAATGTTAGCGTCCCCGCCACACGCGCGGACCCGCTACGACGCAGCTTCCCCTTTCAATGGGCCGAACAAAAAATTAGATACTTAGGGGTATGGCTGTCCAAGCAGAGCAGAGACCTGTATAGGGACAACTTCGCCTCTATACTACACACGTTCCAACGAGACTTGAGGGAATGGTCCTACCCGCACATATCGTGGCTCGGGAGAGTGCAGGTCATAAAAATGAACTTCCTTCCGCGCCTCTTATACCTCTTCCAGGCCATCCCCACTGTCATACCAGGCCCCTTCTTTAACACACTCAGAAAAGAAATGATAAAATACGTATGGAACGGGAGGAGGCCCAGAGTGAAATTTTCCACACTGACACGTCCTAAAGACAAAGGGGGACTAGCCCTTCCAGACTTCCACCAGTACTACGTAGCCACACACCTGCAGAGAATCATGGAGTGGTCTAAAGACGGAGTTCACAAACTATGGAAGACAGTGGAAGAGGCAGAAGCAGGCAGACCGATCTCGGGGCTTCCCTGGGGCCGAGACACAACCGATAGAGGTGACATGTCCATATACACGAGACACACTATGAGAGTTTGGAGGAAGGCCGCAAAGAAAGGGAATATGGCACCGTACCCCTCCCCCCTCTTGCCCCTGACACACAACGAGGACTTCCCGCCGGGTCTAGACCCTGGAACCCTCAAACACATCTTCCCAGACAGTACCCCACGCCTACACCACTTCCTTCAAGGTGGGAAATGTAAAACACTAACGGACTTGATGGGAGAGACGCCCCCGACCTTTATGCACCGCTTCCGACATGCCCAACTGACCAATTACATCCACTCCCTACCACAGGGACCAGCACTGGCCAGAGACCAGACCACGATAGAAGTGGTCAGCTCACACCCAGACCCGCTCCCGCATGGAGTGTCCTTCTTATATTCCATGCTCCAATCAGAAACCCCGTCCGAGACACCACTATTCATGGGAAAATGGGAAACAGCCCTGGGTAACACACTAACGGAAGCAGAATGGGAAACCATCTGCTACCTTACACACCACTGTTCCACTCACAGCAAAACACAGGAAACGGCCTACAAGCTTCTAACACATTGGTATAGGACACCACATCTCCTTCATCACGTAAACCCAGACCACTCCAGACTCTGCTGGAGATGTGAAAGAGAGGTGGGCACCACAAAACACATCTGGTGGGATTGCGCGTTGATCCAACCATACTGGAAGAGGATACACAAAATGCTAGAGAAGTTCGCGGATGCGCCCCCCCCCCTGGAACCGGCAGCGATGCTCCTACACCACACAACAGTTCCCCGATCCAAATACAAAAAATCCATGACCATTAGAATACTTAACGTGGCCAAACGAGTGCTCCCCCAATTCTGGAAACAAACAGTTACACCTCCACTTTCGACCTGGTTTAGCCAAATGGAAGAGCTAAGGTCAATAGAGGAACTGACCATGACGGCCAACACTACACCCACTACCTACATGAGCATCTGGACGCACTGGATTCTAGAGACGGCAAAAGAAGAGTTCCAATTAGAACTCAGGCCTAACACTAACGGGAATCACGACACAGACAGATAGTACTCAGAACACACACCACAGACGACGCTAGATGGACGACAGACGAACTGGACGGAACTACCCCCCCCCCTCCTTCCTTTCTTCCCACCCAGACACATTCCCCCCCTCTTGCCCCCTGCGAAATACCAGAGCATCATCATTGACTGAATCATCCCCACCGCACCCATAGCGACAAGGGAAAACATATTTGGGAACGATCAACGAACACGAACTGGTACTTACATCCAGACCGGCCCGGGAAGACACCCCAAAGCCAAAACATGCGAACACCTGAAGGAACCCTGGACAGGCCCAGCATTGACACGGCTAATGCAGTATCCACACGCCCAAGGTAAGGGTACCCTTTACCCGCAATACCACCATTCCCCTGGTTAAACACGGGAAACACCGATAGTAATAACGGGGGTAAACACAAGCCCACCACGGTCGATGACACATAGCTAAGGACACAGGGCCCGATGAGACGCCGTAGACAGGGACCATAGGGGTGGCCTACAAACACTGACACCTAATCAAAGACTGATTAATCTGGTTCAAAGACGATTACAAAGCATTATTTTCACTCAGTTCATGAAAACGTTACTTAATTTATAGTCCCAAACAAATGTAAATACCAGAAAATGGGGACCTGCGAGTCCTTCTGTGATGGGGCCTGCGAGCCTAATTTGTTACCTTTTATAATAACATGCAATGGAGACCTGCGCGTCTCACCGCAAATTTAAATACACAAAATGAATAAAAATCATATTCACAAAAAAAAAAAGAATATTTGTGATGGCCAACTGCAGCATTAATGTTTTGAAAGTTCTCCAAGTCAACACTCCAAAAAGTTCCAAGGTACAATATTGTTTCCAAACTGTGTCCTTTTATTGTCCATACTTTGCCGTAGACCTGCAGGCTGGCTGTGAATAGTAGGATTTTCAGGAATTCTCAGATATGCGGGGAGGCTAGGTCAGCCATCAGTGTCCTAGACCAACAGACGGCTCGGAGACAGACATAGAGAAAATAGAGAACTCCAATCTTAGATGTGGTTAACTCATCTTATGACCTCACTCCCCGGTAATCTCTCGATGTGGCGGGATTGTTTAATAACATTGCTGCTTTTTGTTCATACAGTTGGTATAGGCTGATGAGCCAGTGGGGGAGACTGTCTTGTGATTGTTAAGTGCCTATTTTCTACTTACCTTTAGAAAGCTTTATGTCTGCTATTCATTCGCAGCAGGATCAGATAATAAGGTCATATTATAAAAACATTCTGTCCACAAATTACTTCCTATGTCTGGAGGCTGATAAAATGAACGAGATGGACAGAGATCCACGACTTTGGGGTTTACTCAAAACCTGGGATTTGTAGGGAATTGACAAGAGAATTGTACATTATAGGCCAATACAGGCAAATTGAAAAAAATAGTTGAAGAATGTTTAGAGCTTTGTTATTTTAGCCTCGAATTCCCTGCTCCCTCATTAGGAATTCCCAGTTCAGAAAATATCCTAAATCAGTGGCTTATTCCTATTTGTGCCAACTGGGAAGGCAATAAAATATAGTGCATCCTGGGGAATTAATGGGGTAGTGTGGCTGTAACTGTGGCCAGGAACCCCAGGAGCTCTGCACCCCAATATAATCGCCTGCCACTTGAGGTCTAGCAGGAATATCAGAACATCTGTGCCCCACTCCCCCCAGTTTTACAGTAAAAGGGATCTGGAAACCCCAGCAATCTTGAATCTTTAAACGTGGATTGGTGTCTTTGCAGGGTTGTGGCAACTTTTATACATATGAGGACATTTAAACATGTAAGATAGAAGTTGGACCTATGAGGAAACACAAAACTGGCCTAAACCTCCAGGCCTGATAGATTGCGAGGATGAGGTGGGACTTTAAAATGTTTATTTGTTGTTCGTTACTAGGTATCCATTCTTATGATTGTAAGCAGCTCCAACTTAATGAATGAATTAAATTAATTATTTATTTAATTAATTAAAGATAATATTAAGCGCGAGGAAACACTTGCATAGTTCCCAGTTGGTCATGGTTGTCCACTTATCATAAAACAAACGTGGATTATGGTTGTGAGCACATACTTAGCGGTAAGTGTAATCTATAGGATGATTTGAATTGGCGTATCGTACATCATTTTTGTCATATCATTATATAAAATGTGTAGGTTTTTTGCAAAGCCTCAGTTTTGCGGATATGGACTCAATGTACGACGATTACCATTTGGTAAATGAAAGAAGACAAAATCAGGATCTTGGTTAGGTTGACAGTGGGACGTCGGTCTTGTGATCAGGACTATCCCAGTCCCATTTGGGAATTTTACCAAAAACGTGAAAGAATTGGCTGCAACGACCGTTGAACATAACCTTAAAGTCCTTCTGACAGTCTTGATGCGACCTATTCACCCTTAGATTTTTGGAAAATATTTGTTTAAAGCATTGAAATGTAGTTATGTAGCGAGCGTACGCTTTCAATTGTGACTTGTTTGTTTGGATTATTTTTGATTAGTCTTTTAATCACTACATCTCTCTTTTTAAAGTGACCTTAATAAAATATTACCGTGTTGAAAGTTCCTGGCAAGTCTGAGCAATCCACTCTCATATTTTATGCAGGGAATGCATGAAAGGCAACTTCTAAACAGATCAACATGTGAGATCGCGGCTGCCAAGATGTAATCACTAATCACCAGTCATAAATACAAGGAAACATCACTCCGCGTCAAATGTACTGGTAGGCACGGAAACCTAACAAAGTTTGTTTGCTTAGAAACTGATCCCACGTACTCCAGATAGAAATCGGTAATACTTAAATTTGTACCTAAAGTTTTGTCAGCACACGCTATCCACGTAATGCAGAACGGCGTTTGAGTGGTAATGGAATTTTAAAATGGACCAATTAACCTCTTCACAACCGGTATCATGCACGCATTGGGCAGAAGAGGTACACGTCCATGACCTTGTATACACATTTATCACAATTTCAAAGGGACACTCAAGACCCGTAGAGTACTGGAGCTTGCTGAAATGCTTTCTGTGCAAAGTGTGTTCCTTTTATTTTACAAAATGTGCAGATTTCAATAGAAATTGTCACCAAATTGTTATAAACGAACATTGTTACACCCCCCTGGCTGTCAATCAGAATACCAGTCCTGTTACTTCCTGGTTTGGTTAGCTCAGTGGAGACGAATTCAAGAGGCAGCAATTTCCCAGAGCACCTGCCTTGCGAAGGTTTGCTAAGGCTGCAGATAAGCAGTTTTTACAATGAAAAAAACGCTTAATTAAATGCATGACCGATTGGAGATATATCTACTAAACAGTGATTTATATTTATTTATTTTGTTTTTGGGCAGTGGAGTGTACTTTTAATAACTACCAAATAAAATCAGATTCTGGCTGTCACATGGTTGCAAATAGCCTGCTTTTTAAAGTGTTAATGTCTTTGTTTTAGCTAAACTTTTTATGTGGCAAATTAACTGGTCATTTACTATAATTAGGCAAAAAAAACCTCCAGGGATCACAAACACTTCATCTCAATGACATGAAGTCGTTATCGCTCCCGCAGTGTTTCATTCACCTAAGTCAATGGTATTGCAACAATTCTGATGTGCAATAGATCCTGAAGGAGTTAAACTTTGCAACTATTTAAATTAACATTATAGTGTCATGTATTCCTGACATATAGTGGTAAAATAACTATTTAGATCCTCGGCCCCCTCTCCTTGCAGTAAAAAGGTGAGTTTACTTACCTTTTTTTACAAGCTGCACTGGTCTGGCGCAGTTGGGCACGCCTGGCTCCGCCTCCATGGATCTTGATAATCTCAGCCAATTCAAGAAAATGCATTGGGAGGCTATTGCGCATGTATACATTGCCTCATACATATGTATTCAATCAATGCTTCTTTTTGGGGAACGTTCAGTGCCTCCACTGGACTAGGAAGCACCCCATCTGAGTTACTGCCACTAGGGGTGCTCCAAGGCACCAATGTAAACACAGCCCTCTCTATGAAAAGGCAGCATTTACATTGAAAGGCCTACAGGGACAGGATGTGTACACCAGAACCACTACATTAAGCTGCAGTGTCCCTTTAATAAGGACTCATGCACTTTGTGAACACAGTTTGTACATTATACACACTGTGATGCTACCAGAGATGTTGTTGGCATCTACCACTCAGCTGTAATCTTATGACATCACTGGGCTATGATGTCATGTAGTACTAGAATATCTTAAAACCCACTAAATGGTACAACTAAACATCTGTCATATTTTGTTCAAAAACAATGAAACAAAAACGCATAATCCTATTACATTTTAGACTTGTCTGAATTACTGCAAATGAAGTTTAGATAAATGTGCATGTTAAACGTTAGGACATTGTAGTTATTGATTGAGGTTTACTATGCTAATTGCTTGTATTTAAATCTCTTTATCTCTTTCATTCCGCTCAGAAAAACTATTTACATTTATGTGACTGTCCACATGGCCTGATTGAGCTGTGATGTCACAATGAATTAATGAATTAGGACTGTGTAAGAAATGGCATTAAGGCGATAAGTATTGCATATTAATAGATATCAAATGCAGATGGCAGCCGTGCGAATTTCCTTCTTCCCAGAATTTCATTGTTTACCGCAATCACTGCATACATTGTACTTAGCATATGAATCATTATTATAACAACCTTAAATAACCCAGGGAAAAAAACCCAACCAGAAATATACATTGTATTAAAAAAATATAAAATAATCTACAGCAAATCAGGAAGAGTGGTAGGTGAATGGAAGATTGTCCAGAGCACCTGCCTTGCAAACACTTCTCATTGAGCTGCATTGGGGAGTCTGTGATTGGACAGCCACAGAAAGTCTGGGCGGGGTTAGAAGGGGAGGGCTTGTAAAGGCTGCTCTATCGCAAGCTGTTTTTACACATACATATACCATCAAAGAAAATAATGCATAATTAAATGCTTGTATTTTTTAATTGTGGGTATATCTACCAAATTGTAATTTTATGTATTTTGGGGTGGGGGAGTAGCGGAGTGAGATCTTTGAGACATTTTTTCCCCAAAGTTTTCTTATAAATAAAAATAAATAAATTGCCAATACCGCCGATAATTGCAGTGATTACTCATGTTTTTATATTATACATGTTCCGGTCTGCTTGAGATTAGTGGGAGTTACACCCTGGGCAGTGGCTGCTGTATGTAGTTACTGTCCTTCATTCAGCTCCTCTCTCTTTAATGGTGCCAGGCAGACCTCAGGTAAGTTGTCAAACCAATCACCATGGTTTGACTACTTACCCTTGGATGGTGGCAGAATATTCCAGGAACCATAGCCACTACAGCACACTACCGTGCTTATGGTGCCAAGAGTGCTCTTTTAATAAAATTTAAATAAAACTTTAACAGGTTTTTATCTTTCAAACGCTTTAATATTTAAACTTTCCTGAGGAGCTTGCAATCAAAGCGGGATAAATGAAGTCACTATTTCCTATTCTGTCTAACCACGATTACGTTTTCCTCCCATGTCTATTTCATGTAAGTTCCGTAAATCACACACAGACCATCCAGCATTCAGATAAAGGTACCTTTTGTGACTTTGTACTTCCATTTAAGAACCTTATAGCTAACACGGGACCCCAGACCGATTTAAAACGACAGCTACCACACATATCACACAGACTAATGTCAGAATTCAAAATGAATATCACATTTTACGCCAATATAGCCAGACTGGAAACATGACTTAGAGACATTTCACAGTTCATCTAATGTGTTCTAAAATGTTACATTCCCTGTTAATTCACTCTGAGCTGTGTGGCCTACAGAGCTGCTCCGCTACGCATAATATATGAATGTAAGCTCTGCAGCCCAGGGCTCTCATGCACCTGACTGTGCCCATTTAGTGACCACCTATAGATACCCAATCCATTAAACGAGAACTAGCCTGAGGTGCAGTGAAACAGGCTCTCTATTACAATAAACCCTGCACCTGCATTGGTTACCTATGAAGCAATTCATCCACTTCAATCCAAACTAAAACAATGAGTCCAGGCTTTCAAACCCTGAACCCTTTCAGTACAGGATTTGTCAGTATAACCCCCAACCCCCCCTTGCTTGTAAGACCTTACAAGTGTTTGTGTGAGAGATAGCACCCATGTACCTTGCTCTCTTACTCCCCCTGTCTTAAGAAACTGGAATTGGAAGTAGAAAAAGTTAATTAAATAAAACCTAAGTTAAGGTATTAAACCACCTAGCACCTTGTTCAATAGGTGACGTGAGGGTTTTTGGACCATGTTTGTGCCTCTTTCTTTAGGATCATTCTCTATAACAAGACATTCCGTGAGCAAGGAATGCACTGTTCTATAAGCTATGCGCTCAAAAGATTCACAGAACGGTTTAGGAGGGAGTGGGGTCTTTAAATACCAGATTTGTAAGATGATAAAATGGCATTTACCCTTAAGGGTTTTTGGTGTGGGGAGAAAAAAACCCCATAAACCTGCTAATTTCTTCTAGGAAAATTATTGTTCTAAATAGTTGCTCGGTGGCAGTTTATACAGACACCCATCACTTTTCACCTGTGAATTTTATAGTAATATTCAAAAATTGAGTGATGATAATTACAAAAAAAATTTTTAAAAATAGAGACAGAGTAAGAGTCTGTGACTTGCTAGCCAAGTCTGACGTTGACATGAAATTAGGAATGAACAGAAAAATAAGAATTGAGTTTTTTTTTTATAAATTACATTTTTATTGAATATCAATAAATTGTGTAGAACGATAAAAAAAGTTTCATCAGTACAAAATGTGGCAAATAGAAAAAAAATAAAAATATATATATATATATATAAATACCAGTGTACCTTTGAAATGTAAACATTTGTCTTAAGGATTATGCAGAAACAATTTTAAGAATAAAAGAGGCATTCATCAGACACCTGTCAATGCGAATTTTAGATTCCCACCTGTCCGCGCTGGTGTTCCACAGTTAGTCTTTGTATATAATCTGACAACTGTCTGACTATTAATACGGGTTTTCTACAAAGGAAGTTGTTAAGAGCTATATTAAACAGGTGTCTGAGCGTATAGCCGCTCTGTAAACAGAATAGATGTTTGGAGAGAAAAAAGAAAAATGTATCTAATACCTTTCATAATCTACGTTAACTGTGCAGGCTTTGCAAATTTTCATTGTACTGTGATAAAGCACCTGCCGCTAGCCGTGATATATTATTGCATAGTTTCTCTGTTGTTTGCAAGTACTTTGCATATTTACAGTCACAATATTACAATAAAAAAAACATGTAACAATTCTTTCCTTCATAAATATATATCGTATGGGCTATTTCCAGCTCACTCAACAGATAGGGATATAATCAACAATTGTATCTTCTTATCCATTTAAAAAAGGTTTGAAACCCACAAGATATTTTTTAGAGCTTTAACATGTATTGAAAACGTAATTAAACTATTTGGCTTTGTTTTGTTTTTGGTTTTTTTAACAAAAAATAATATATATATATTTATATAAAAAAGGAAATTGAAGAATGCTGATTGTGCACATGGTAAAAATGTAACGCATCTCTGGGATTTGGTAATAAGGCACTCGATTCCAAATGTACAGTCTATTGAGAAGATGAAGTGTGAATCAGGAAGAGGATTTCAGAACAAGAGATTGTCAGATTGCTAAACAAATATAGCAAAAATAATTAAATGTACTCCCCCCCCAAAGGAGGAGTATAGAGTCTGTTTCAGTCCGACATGCAAAAGGTTCTCAGTGACCCCCAGAACAGCCTGTCTCTTCATGTTTGTGGAGCAAAGACATTCTAGAAAAAGTTCTAGAGCAAGTCTTGCACTGGTACTTCTTAACATCTGAGTGGGTCTGAAGATGCGCTCGGAGGTTTGACCGGTCAGCGAAGGCTCTGTTGCAGTGTGTACAGGAGAAAGGTTTTTCACCTAGAGGAAGACAAAAAAAGGCAAAAAAATATGTTTAATGACATTGATCGGAGGACAAGGTGTTGCAAGAGAAGAAAGTTAAAGAACACACCACAAGCAGACCTAACACTATCTTGGTGAACTGGCCAAGCACAGGGCATGTTAGATCTGTCTGAGCTATATTTCCCAAGATGCTTAGTTAATTTAAAGAGAAAGCTCCTTCACAAGTCAATATTTACCATTATTAACTCAGCAGCTCAGAAAATAAGTTGTTGAGTAAACAAAGGAACTGGTCACACAGTAACGCCAATTAACAAGGGGCAGTTAAAAGCACTTCATTAAATTTGCATCTGTTAAAGCTATACACATTTTATTTTATCTAGAGCAACAATGACAAAAGAGCACTAATTCTCTGAACTATTTATGCAATTGATCTTACGCTTTACATTTTTAGCCGTCCCTTGAACAGGGCGTGAAATCAGTTACCCAACAACAAAAAGAAAAGTAAATGAAGAAATGATCCCAGCGACATGAATAAGAGGTGGATGGCTGTATTGTAAGCGAGAGCCTTTGAGGGCTGGTAAGGGGACTGGCAGCTGGGAGTACTGGCAAAGCGTGGCGTGCATTGCAACAGGTGCATAGCACAAATTATAGTGCCCACCCATCACTAGGGGCCCGTCCCAGGCCTGACATCAAAAGAACCCAATGGCGCTGAAATAATCACTATGTACACTAGCTTTTGTACTATTCAATTCATCTTCAAAACGGATTTTTTTTTCTCCTTGAAGATTATAACTAGATATCAGCACAGATCCCACAATGGGAAACCACAAGGTACATTTAGAAAGCCACCATGGGCAAGCTATGTATACACTGAAGGTTGGACTAGATGGGCGCAAAACTGTTTGTTCAGTCTATACAAAAATGCAACATACAATGCATCTCTGCCTAAAAATGCAATAAAATATATCGTATAAAAAATAATAATGAAAAGATTTTTTTTCTTCTTTGCATGCGAAATGTTTTCCACCCAAAAAATAAAACACAAACAAAAGTGAAAAAGTAAAAATGACAAATAGAATTTAAGGATCTGTACACCAGGAAAGTTAACACGTTGAATGCCAAGAGCCAACTTTCTTCCACATAGGGTTAGAGTACGGATACTATGTATAAAGACAAGGTGTATACATACCGGTATGAGTTCTGATATGTCCTTGCAGTAACCACGGTCTGGAAAAGGCTTTGCCGCAGATCTTGCAGACACAGGGTAGTGTGTGGCTCCTGATGTGCATCTTTAGAGCCCCAAGACTAACATATTCCTTTTCACAGTACTTGCAGCTAAAAGACTTTCTATTCTGAGAGTCACAGTGGAGTTGCTTGTGTTTGGACAGTCCGGCGAAGGTGGAGTACGACTTGTTACACTGTCCGCAGTGAAACTTTTCAGCTTCTGTTGCGGAGGAAGCAGGGCTGGGGGGGTCCGAGGTCTTTCCGCTCTCGTCGTCCTCACTGGAGAAGGAACTAAGGTCTAACGGTTTGGATCCCTCAATGGCAGGAGACGTGGGAGAACTCTGAAAGTCGGGCTCGGCCGTGAAAATCGTCGTAATTAAACCAGTGTCCCAAACTACAGGTGGGTAATAGGCCGTGGTGCTCAAAATCTCAGGCTGTGGTATCAACGGAATGGATGCATACTTATCATATAGGTAGGGAGCGATGTACACTGCAAGAGAGGGGAGAATATATTACATGTCTGTACAATGAATGGGTCCCAACATTCCATTCATCAATATACACACACACACACAACAAAAACAAAATATGGATTAATTTAGAGAATGTATATCCGCAAATAAACAATATTTATATACACCTTATATATCACTCACAGACACACAGGAATGAAGTAAATAAAAATATACACGCACACACTATATACTAGTTACATCCATTCACTATCTATACAACAATGCATTCAAAATACCCAAAATAAATCTATACACAGTAATATGTCTATAAATGGATTTTAAAACATAAAAACTTCCAGAATAACTCATTCCACACTCATTCTGCTCTATAGATTCCCCAAATCTGTTCAGCCTGACTGCAATAAGATGCAGGATATTTAAGGGGTGCTGGGTGCCCCCCATGCCTTACCTCTCTGGCTCTCCAGCTCACTGTAATTGGGCTTCTTATTGGCAGAGAAGTGTTTCTTCACTAAGAATGATCGTGGCATCTTAGGAGCTCTCTCAGTCCAGGATCAGAGAGACAGACTCACATGTGGTTTAAAGGGAATGACTTACTGTGCAGCATGCAAACTCCTGGCTAATATGCAGCCTGGAGGCTGGGGTGTGATCATGCAAATTCACATTGTCAGCTCCCAGCCAATCACATCCAAAGGGAGGGGGTGACAGCCTTGTGTGTCCAGCAGGTGCCTGAAGCATTGGATTTTTTTGGATGGGGGTCTCTCCACCCATGTATTAATGGAGTGCATCTCAAACAAGTCTATCTCAAGGCAAACTCTGTGCAGAGAGAATAACCCCCACTGCCATTGCACTCTCCATACCTGCACTAACATAGCCATTGCTGCCCTGGCAATTATTAACAATGTTAGAACAGGGCAGGCGATCAGAGCTAATAGTACAAGTATTGATACAATGTAACACAACACATTGCCTCAAACTACAACCAATAGTAAATAGTGATTTATTTAGTTATTCATTTATGTTTATCCTTTTTTTTTTTCCTTCTAAATTCTCCTACTTGTTTTAGATTTTGGGGATCGTCATTTATTGGTTCTCCCCCTTCACCCACCCCCCCCACCCCCACCCACAAAAAAAAAAAGAAAAGGGAAAAATAGGCTATTTTCACATCTTAAACCAATCATTTTAATCAGGGTATTTTTCAGATTTCTTTTGGTTAATAGGTGATTATGTCCAAATTACAGAGAAATGTTATTTGTTTAGAGGGGATTCTTAATTCAGGTCCCCCATGCTGTGTTCTTAAGAGGAAGATAAAACACAAACAGAAAGCCCACACTGTGTGAGTGAATACACAAAGTGTATGTTAATGTCTGTATGTCAGGTAAACAGCTCCCAGCTCTGTAAAACTGCTGCAATCCAGGGGATACAGTGTGTCCCCAGCTTCCATTTCAACTTTGTGTGTTTTTTTTTTTAAATATATAATTCTTCCAATAGAGTAATTGTCCCTGGGTTGGGGGATATTTGGTTAAATGCAAATACTGCACTTTCTGTAGAAGATTTTCCCAATGATCTGAAGTGGTTTAATCAGACTGTAGACATCAATGGCTGTTGACTCACACTCTGTTTATATAAGCTCTGGTTTGAAGGAATTTCGCTCAAGTTTATTCAGTAAACCCCGAATTGCAGTGAATTGAAAACTGAACAGGCCAAATTTTGGCTACAAGATTTGATTTGGAGCAATTCTCCTGCGAGGCTGTAGTCCGAGCTTGGCTATTTGGGCCCCGATTTACGGTTTAGTGAATAAACCATTCTGTATTTAGGTTTTTTTTTTGTGAACTTTGTTTTTGGTAAGCCCCATGTGACAAACAGATAGCACCTGCCGGCACATTCCACTGACACCAGCAGAGAGAACAGGTGACAATCACAGCAGAACGCTGGCTCCTGCGGACCCCTTTCAACTTGCAAAGTCCTCTCATCTTAACCGTGGGAGGGTGAGAATCCGCCTGTTTCATCTGTACGATTGTGTGCGCCCACAAGTGGGTTATTTTACCCCTTAAGGACACATGACATGTGTGACATGTCATGATTCCCTTTTATTCCAGAAGTTTGGTCCTTAAGGGGTTAATAAACAGTGAATTAAAGGGAATTTAAAAAAAAATATTGCAACATTTGGGCAATAATAACTTATCTAAAACGTTCTCTATTCACATCGTGGCTATTTCAGTCTTGAAGTTGACCTTGAAAAAGGTCCCAACACTAATATGCAGCATAATAACTGATATAGCACCAACGTATTCTCCAGCGCAGTACTACAATAATGAAGGACACAACCCGTTTCATGGTCCTTAATGTTAAAATTCTCTTTTCAAATCGCTGCAATTCAGTGTTTAGTGAATAAATCTTTGAAAATCCCAACACACTTATTCATAACAGTATGCATTAGGCTAGCCATTGGCTATGGGTTATGGGTAATGTACGCCAAAACAGCCAGTGTGCCCAAGGCCAGGCATTATTGGTGCATGAGCGAGGGATTGTGAAACATTACAGGAAGACTGTGAACGGGGTCAGTAAGCCATTCACAAAAACAATACAAACACCTTCAGCAAGATCGGGCGTGGGGACAGTCCTGGCAAGGGTTAATACAGGTGTTAATCACCTGCAAGGTACACAATGCGCTTATCATTGGGAGTGGAGATAAAAGTAATTTTGTGCCCTGAGGTTATGTCAAAAGAACAATCACTGCACAGGAATGTCTGCACATTTTTATGGCTATATACTTTACTGATGGAAAATTTGGGTGACCGGCAAAGGTTCCTAAATACGGACAACTCCCATCAGGAAACCCCTGTACAAGGGACACAGCCTCCTATTCAGTGGTGCAGTAATTCAATGTGTGACTGCACTGAACTAAAGGCAAATTAGGGAGATCACACTTAGCAATGCGATATGATGGATCATTTGGCAACTGTCACAAATATATACACATTTAATGTAAAATGACACACTTGGAAGCTGGGGACACTCTGCCTTTTACACAGGAATGCTGAGCACATGGTGAGTGAGGTCTGAGTGTGACTCAACAGGAAGTGCAGAGTGCATTGAAATATTGCTTCCCCCAGGCCCCACTCCAATTAAAGTATGGAAATGGCCTGTTTAAAGTGACCACACCTGTTAATTAGACACAGAAAACATGCATCCTATGGGCCTCAGGATTGGACTGCAGCCCTGATATTAGTGGGCCCGGTTAAACATGCAAAGCCATTTATTAAAGTGACAATTGTCTGGGATTCAATTTTATATTTAATGTAAAAATATCTGAATTGGATACATCCACCAAGATAACTAAGCCTTCACTTTGGCTTATTGTGGTCTAAAATGTAAAATTTACTTTGAATTGCCCCAAATTCCCACTTTAGTGAATGACTTTAATGACATTTTTATACCATATCCAGAAAATGATGGGATATATGAGGTAAACTGGGGATTGGGGAGAATTGACTAGGGAACGGAAATCATTTATTTAGGAATAGGCAGATTGTGCAATAAGGCTGTATTGGCCCAAGATTTGCTAATCCTTTATCGGTCCTTCTTAACTGTCAGGTTAGTGGAACATTTACATATTTCAGTCAAACGTTTCCCTTAAGACAAGAAAGGGCCAAAGGATTGTCTTACATCAACAAAACTATAGGAGGCCATTCAACATTACAGCAACGACCTTTGGCCCCAGGGAGAAAAGAAAAATCTGTTTTAAAAGCACTTTTCTTCTCTTACATTAAAAGCGTTCCAAGATCAAGATTTTAGGATATATATAGATATAAAATTGTATTTATTTAGTTATTTAAACTTAAATTGATGTAGAGTACAATGGCTCTGAAGAGTTAAAAGATATTAAAAAAAAAAAATTTCTTACTACATTTATGTCGGTGATAAATCTTGTGATTTACCGATATTAAACGAGGATAATTTTGATGCTAAATGTGATGTTTGCAATTTGAATTTTTCTTTTATAAAAACATTTTTTTTTTAAATGAAATATGCAATTTTGCTAAATTATGAGAATGTTTTCAAGATAAAAAAAATACATAATTAGATTTAACAAAGAAACACAATGGAATAAGACGTGTGTGTCAGAAATGCAAATATAATATTTTCTTATCTGAAACTTTATCCAAGGAAAATAACACAGGACATTATGAACGCACGCATTCTGATGAGCCAATTAAAATGTATTTTTGTAACACAGAACAGGAACTTAATTTAATTTGTCTTACAAGTCTTATCCTAAAGTCTAAAAACTTTCATTCACTTATGTTTGGCAAAAGATATCTATTTTCCTTGCAAGAGGATGTGAGTTTGCAGATTGAAGGCTAAAGTGCGCCCTCTAATGGCAGCAAAATGTAAGTAACATACTTTGCACTGAGTGAGCACCCTGCATTGTATGATAATTGAGTCAGTTGGTTAATTAAATGTGAAGCAAAGGGTAAAAGACTTAATGAATGCAAACTGAATTTAGTTTATATTGGTCATTTAGATATTGCATTGTTACAAACAGAATATATTTCCTTAGTAGAACTTAGATGCATATTCAATATTTGCATACATTATGAATTGTGATGCGCTGCGGCATATGTTTGCACTATAGAAATCCCAGTTAAAATATAATAATAAACTGTGATTTACCGATATTAAACGAGGATAAATTTGATGCTAAATGTGATGTTTGCTAAATTATGAGAATGTTTTCAAGATAAAAAAAATACATAATTAGATTTAATTATTAAGAGGATGTGAGTTTGCAGATTGAAGGCTGATTTGTTGAATAATTTTCTAAGCAATGAGGACTTTGAAGGAGAGAATATAACTTGTAGCTTGCATTCACAACGACTCAGAACAGGATTTTATTATTTGTGTAGCGCCAGCAAGTTCCGTAGCGCTGTACATATTTATCCCCCAAACAATATTCCTTTAAACGCAAAGGGTTATTTTTGTGCGTGTTTTCTTTTTTTAACTACACAGAAAATTATAATAAATTGAAACACTAATTTAAAAGACAAAAATAGGAAAAATTCAGCAATTTGGTTATTTTGCGTCTTGGATTTAAAAATATTTTTACTGAATTTAGCAATTTGGATTTTAATCTACTACAATTCATCAGATTATTTACTAAAGTGAGAATTGAAAGTGAATTTTAAATTTAAGGTCAAAAGAATTGTGAAAATTCTCTAAATCAGCCATGGTTTCCATTCAGTAATTCAGATTTTATATTTGGAAATCACTTCGAACTCTCACGTTAGTAAATAGTGCTGAGAGATGAGGAGAGCACGACTGCTGATAGTGCCTGAAATTGTTGTGGCTGGAAGCGTGGGAGATCGCAAGGTCTAAAAGGTAACACATTCTTCTCACACAAAGCTACGGTTTCTAAACTTTACATGATTTCCGGGACACAAATCACTTCATGTTCAGACAGCGCATGTAGCCTAATATGGAAGGAAATTAAGTAACCAAGGTAGTTCCTAATATTTGATTGATAGAATATTGATTTCTTTGATGTAGCATATGAATTCTTCATACGGACGCCCATTTCATGTACCACCCATTGGACAGGTGATATAACTTGTGCAGTGTTTATACGCAAAAAAAAGTAGAATCGAAAAAACACAGGACTTGGAAAAGATCTGTTGGCCAAAAAGGTGTCATTTTTCTTGTCAATTCTCCTCCAAGGTTAGTTAAACCTTGATAAACACTTGCATTTAGAATTATTTATATAGCGCCAACATATTCTGCTGTGAACAACAGGTAAATAAGAGAAACAGTTAAAGGGACAGTATAGTCACCTGAACAACTTTAGCTTAATGAAGCAGTTTTGGTGCATAGAACATGCCCCTGCAGCCTCACTGCTCAATCCTCTGCCATTTATGAGTTAAATCCCTTTGTTTATGAACCCTAGTCACACCTCCCTGCATGTGACTTGCACAGCCTTCCATAAACACTTCCTGTAAAGAGAGCCCTATTTAGGCTTTCTTTATTGCAAGTTCTGTTTAATTAAGATTTTCTTATCCCCTGCTATGTTAATAGCTTGCTAGACCCTGCAAGAGCCTCCTGTATGTGATTAACGTTCAATTTAGAGATTGAGATACAATTATTTAAGGTAAATTACATATGTCTGAAAGTGAAACCAGTTTTTATTTTCAATGCAGGCTCTGTCAATCATAGCCAGGGGAGGTGTGGCTAGGGCTGCATAAACAGAAACAAAGTGATTTAACTCCTAAATGGCAGTTAATTGAGCAGTGAAATTGCAGGGGAATGATCTATACACTAAAACTGCTTTATTTAGCTAAAGTAATTTAGGTGACTATAGTGTTCCTTTAATTCGAACAAAACATGCATGGCACATGGGAACAGTAGGTGAAGAGCTTACAATCTAAAGACAGAAGTATTTATTTTAGTACAGCGCTGCTGAATATGTTGGCGCCTTACAAATAAGAATATTTAAGCATTTTCCATTACACAGGGCAGAGCGGAGACTCAGACCAGACGTTTACTATAATGAGCCTTGGGCCTTGATAAGGAGAGCAGATAAGGGGAGGGATCCATTAACAGTGCCAACACAACCGTACCCATCTCCGTCCTATCGCCAGCTGACAGGTTACATACACATTGTATCACTGGGTGCTCAATCACCATTGATTCATTATTGATTAGTTTTTTTTTTTTTTTTTTGTAAATATGAATTTTATTGACGTAAATGCAGTTGTTTACAAGCGTGCAGATTTGGAAAGGAGACACGCAGGTCTCAAACATTATGTAAGGTATCCATGTATCTATTTTGACATCATGTGTCCGCTCCCATATAGCCCGCAGGCCTCGTTATTCTAAGGTCGCATTTTCGGCCCTTTTGTCCGCTACCTCTCGTCCCTTTCTCCTTTCTGTTGTAAATCCCCCTTCCTGACATGTGATCCTGGTCTCAGGGTATCGTGCGTCCTCTGGTGGGCATTATTGATTAGTTATGGGTGGGTTAACAATTTCCTGGACGATGGATCCGCATGGAAGAAGTACTTCCTGAACACCTACAGCCCAGCTTGCATTTGCTAAAACTCACAGTTTAGTAAATAATTTCTCGGGTGTTTGTCATTGTAATGCCCCACCAATGGCATTTAGAAGAAGCGTTGCTAGGGAAGGATACAATCAAATGAAAGCGTTGAGCATGTAACAGCAGTGGTGCTTGTACCGCACTGTACATCAAAGGTTTCATTGATTGGAGCTGGTGTCACAGGATACAGAGATATCACAGGTTCAGGTACCTGACTGCTACAGAGAGCACGTCCTGTAAACATTGAACGGATGGATGAATGCTCACACTCCTGTCATTGTTTCAATTCACTCCTTTGTCATCTGTAGCCTTGAATGGAGATCCACACACTGCTAGCAAGGAGTAGGGCGGTCAGTATGCACACCATCTAGAACTAACATTGCAGAGGAGGACACACCAACAATAGACACTCTATGGGGAGCAAATGTGTTGCTAATGTTGTCTTTGATATAAGTGTCTGCTCCTTTTAATTAGAATGACTTTCCTGTTATCAGAAGAGCATTTATTGTGTCTCCTCCTAGTGGCAGACTAGATGTACTACACGCTTGTCCAATTAACCAATGTAAAATACCTAGAACATCTGATGTTTTTAAATGTGCAATACTGAGTAATGTAGGATTCAACTCCATGCAGCTCTGGGGTCTTAAATATATTGCCTAGTCTGTCTGTGATTATTGGGAGTTACACTCCTCAGCTGCTGTTATTTTAATTTAGGTTGACCTAGAGCAGAATTAATGGCAGCGCTGAAATAGCTCCTGTTGATGACTAACGCCAAATAATCTCAAGAAGCAATGGGACACTAAACACCTACCCATATCCCCTACACACTACAACACTACCCTTACCCCCTACACCATAAGCCCAACTCTACCCTTATCCCCTACACCATAACCCCAACTCTACCCTTATCCCCTACACACTACCCCCAACACTACAACACTACCCTTATCCCCTACACTGTAACCCCAACTCTACCCTTATCCCCTACACCATAACCCCAACTCTACCCTTATCCCCTACACCATAAGCCCAACTCTACCCTTATCCCCTACACCATAACCCCAACTCTACCCTTATCCCCTACACACTACCCCCAACACTACAACACTACCCTTATCCCCTACACCATAACCCCAACTCTACCCTTATCCCCTACACCATAAGCCCAACTCTACCCTTATCCCCTACACCATAACCCCAACTCTACCCTTATCCCCTACACACTACCCCCAACACTACAACACTACCCTTATCCCCTACACTGTAACCCCAACTCTACCATTATCCCCTACACACTACCCCCAGCGCTACAACACTACCCTTATCCCCTACACTGTAACCCCAACATTACCCCCAACTCCACCACTCTAGCGTTATCCCCTACACACTACCCCAACTCCACTCTACCTTATCCCCTAAACATTACCCCCATCTCTACAACACTACCGTTATCCCATACACTGTAATCACAACACTACCTTTATCCCATACACTGTAATCCCAACTCTACCCTTATCCCCTACACTGTAACCCTCAACTCTACCCTTATCCCCTACACACTACCCCCAATGCTACAACACTACCCTTATCCTCTACACTGTAACCCCAACTCTACCACACTACCCTTATCCCCTACACCAGGGGTGCCCAAAAGGTAGATCCCCAGATGTTGTAGAACTACAAATTCCTTTAGAATGGTTTTATAATGGCAAAGTTGTAGTGGATCTACCTTTTGGGCACCTCTACCCTTATCCCCTACACCCCCTCCCCCCCCAACAGACTACCCTTACCCCCTGCACACAACCTGTATCACCTACACACCACCCCCAACAGACTACCCTTACCCCTAACTCTCCCACACTACCCCTATCACCTACACACAACCCCCAACTCTCCCATACCACCCTTATCCCCTACACTCCACCCCACCTTAACCCCTCTACCCTTATCCCCTACACACCACCAGCAGCTCTACCCCTCATCCCCTACACTCCACCCCAACTCTACCCTTATCCCCTACACACTACCCCTAACTCTACCACAGTACCCTTATCCCCCACACACTAGCCCTAACTCTACCACACTACCCCTATCCCCACCACACTACCGTTATCCCTGATACACTACCCCTATCTTTAAAACACTACCATTATCCCCTACATTCTAACCTGATCCTCTACACACTACCCCTAACTCGAACACATTAAATCTAGCCTAAAAATTATCACGTAATTTAAAAAGATACTTAGCAGCATGGTGTGCATCTGGGCAAAGCAATGCCGTTTAATCTCCAAAAACACTCAACGGCATTGTTTTCCCATAATGCACCTGTCACCATTATGTATTCTCTCTGTAGATCTACCTAACTACACATTATTTTAGAAAGCAGACTAACTCAGGGCTTTATTTACCAAAGCACTGGCGTACATACCGTGGTCGCAGCTGCGACCGGGCCCGGCCCACCTGGGGGCCAAGTCGCCCTGCGACCCGGGTATGCACGCCAGTTTGCCAGCCTCTTCAAATGGAGGCCCAGGAGCTGGCCACCTCAGGGCCCCCCCGAGGCTGGCAGTGGTGTCACCGGGCGTGCGAGGGAGAATTCTCCCCTGAGCGCTATCTGCCCAGCACCCTCGCACACACACCGCAGTGATGCCGGAGCCGGAATAGGACATCACTCCGGCTCCGGCATCAGTAAGCGACGCACGAGGGAGCTGAACAGGATCAGTGCTCCCTCGCCGCCTGCAGGACCGGCCGCCCAGCAGCCCCACTGGACTCCAGGGAAATCTGGAATCCCCTCAGCACTCCCAAAAGGTAGGGAGAATTTTTTTTCGCACTGGGGCCCCATGGATCGTGTGTATGCCACTGTCCCAAAGCAAGATTTGTGGAGATATTGTTTTAACCCAGTGACACTTTCCATCTCTATTAATTTTGTCTAAAACATGCAATTCCCTTCTGAATCGTACAAGATTTCTGCTGGGTTATTTATCAAAAGTGAGAATTGTTAGGAATTCAAAGATTTTCAAATCCAGAATTATAGCCGACTAGGAGTATTTTCCCAGTTTGGCTACTGTGGTCTAAATGTTACAATTCCCAACAATTCTCATTTTAGTAAATAACCCCCTCTGACGCTTTAGGAAAAAGGCACAACGAGGACAGTGTATTCAAATGGTGTTTACTGGACAATTTATAATGGCTTCGTGAAACATTCCCCAGCTCGGTTACTTTGATGGGTTTTTAGTAAATAAACCCCAATGAGGCCCGCAAGGCGCACTTTAATACTCGTTACCTTGTTCAGTTCTAATGCGTAAAAGAAAATTAATAAATATAAAAAAATGTGAAATTAAAAGCACTAAAATATTATGCATTGATAAATTTGTGCAGGAGTATTTTACATATTGGAGAAAAAGGGCAGCCTTTACAGTGAGATATTTTATTGCTTTATTTTGGTTTAAAAAGATGATTACAAATTGTGCATTCTGTGCTTACATTTTAGAAAACGTTTATTAGAAAGAAAGAGTAAAACCCTCGGTTAGCATTGAGAGCCCTTCATATGATCAGAGATTATAAAGACACTTACAAGGGAAAACAGACAAATACAAAAATAAAAGGAAAGCCATTTCGGATCTCTTTATTGCTGCTCTGGAATATAAGATTAACAAACATTGGTTTCGTAAAATAAGTTGAAATCACGATAAAGTGAACAGATAAAAGATATTGCATAATCGGAGTTAAATGTGGTAAATTGGGCAAGCTTTTATAGGACATTAAGATGGATAATTTTAAGTCACATATAAAGTCAGTCAATCCGACCTAGAAATCAAGACTTATTAGCAACAATATCCAAACACCAACCCACCCATGATTAGAAACATAGAATGTGACGGCAGATAAGAACCATTCGGCCCACCTAGTCTGCCCAATTTTCTAAATACTTTCATTAGTCCCTGGCCTTATCTTATAGTTAGGATAGCCTTATGCCTATCCCACGCATGCTTAAACTCCTTTACTGTGTTACCCTCTACCACTTCAGCTGGAAGGCTTTTCCATGCATCCACTACCCTCTCAGTAAAGTAATACTTCCTGATATTATTTTTAAACCTTTGCCCCTCTAATTTAAGAGTACCAATGACAGATACAGCTAGGATGCATGTACAAATAAATACACTGCACAGCAATGATGGTATCTTTGCACTGCAGATGCCGGCCAACTACATTTTCCATGATGCTTCACAGGAAGTGTAATTACATCACTCCATCCTCCCAGAAAAACCACTATTAAAGACATAACTGGGAATAGTAGTGCGGTCAAGGGAAGTAAATCCCTTACCTCCAGGGCACTCCTGTGTCCAGGATGCGATGAGCACGCCAGGGCATCTAAGGAGCAATGCTGTACCCGCTTAGCTCATGCATTGGGTCAATACGCCACATGCATTGGGCACTGTGGGATTAAATTAATTTGCATAGTACATACCGACTGATAGCCAGACATACAACGTACAACTAAAACAGAATTAAACAAAATACAAAGAGCACAATCTGTCGCTAACATTTGTTAGGCTTGAGAAAACAACAACAGGACATCTCAAAATATAGAACAGAGAGGTGAATCCATGAACCTGTTTAATGAAATCTATTATAACTGTGGAGGAAGGGGAGGAGAGAATATCAGATATTGAAATGGATAAATTTAACCTGTTTACAAATGATTAAAACTGCCACAAAAGCAATGGATTTGTCTGGCAAGGTTCTGTAGGGGTTAGATAGCATTCACATGAATGCACGTACGATTGTTTGACAGACCCGGCAATCTCTGCCTTGTTTTGGTGCAGGGATGCGCTCATCCCTTCCTACCGGTTAAGCCAAAATCATTCCGAGAGGGTTTCTTTTCAGTTTTTTAATGCTGCACCTTTTACCCACAGACACAAAGCATTTTGTTCCAAAATGAAGAATAACTAAAAATAAAAACGTAGACTGCTCCCATATAAAGGAATTAAAAAAAAAACAAAAACGAAAAATACCGATGTCGTTCATATAAAATGTGTGTACACCCACTCTGCCCAACAACAGTTATCATTTACAGCCTTCATCAAACAATAGTCTATAGGAAAGTAAAAAGCCTAATAAGATTTCATACACGGCACTAAGGAAGCAAAACAAAAAACTATTTTATAAAAGTAGGGGGAAAAAAAAAGACCCATTTAAATGTAGCAGCAGTACGGCAGGAAGAGATTTTAAACATGCCAGATTTAATTTAATATTGTGAGGTCATATTCCACTAATTTCAGGGAGTGATGGAACTAGGTTATAAAAAGATTTCTTTAGTTTCATATCAGGAAAAAATAAATAAATATAAATATTTAAGCATCATCCCACCAGATGATGGCGTGCATTATTTATAAGCAACGTAGCCGAAATATATTAAAGCAGGGCAGTCATCAAAATTATTTAGACGCCATCATGTAGAACTTTCAAAACTTGGGCAAATGGCATCATTGAATGTAGGTGCTGGCGTTGGTTGCCATTTGCATGCCCTTGGTAACACCTTTATGCTACACCCAAAGCACCAGGAAATCTTTAAAAAAAAGTTGTTTTGGTGCACAGACGGTACCCAGTTTTATCTGACAATGTAAAACACTGACAGCCGCTAGAGGCCATGTTATCAGAAACGGCAGACTGACAGCCGCTAGAGGTCAAATGCTGCAAATTCTTTCTATGCCCCAGTGGAGGGGCACAGTATTCCAAATTTGCATTAGATTACGTAAAACTGGCCGTTACGTGATTTGACCTATACGTGCACTGAATGTGCCTATGCTAACCATGACTCTCTATTAATGCTTTATCTCCCCGCAGATAGCCGGGTGTGAATGAAATCCACCCTCCTCCCCAAAAAGTGCATGAACTCAAAAAGGTACATTATTTTCTAGCACGTAAACTGTAAGCAACAGATTTTTCTCCATATTACTAAATTTGCAAAAACAGGGAGGAAACATTTTTAGTTTCTCTCCCTTTACACCTTCCTTGTCAGAGAGATACCCTGTAGGGTCCCTTTAATACACCTTAGAACCAAGACAACGCACTTACACAAATGAAGAAAAAGCTTGCCATTTGTAGTTGTATCAAAGCAGACACCTCTAAAATATGTCCTGAGTGGCAGTTTGTTGCATAAAGCTCTTGGTACGGTGATGCAGGGTGCTCAGAGCTACAGTTAGGGGTTTATATTGCAAAGAGCGAGTTGTCACCTAACCTGCTGGATTGCAAGAGTTTAAAATGCACCGAGCAGTTCATTTAGTACATTGTGCAAATCAGATAGCAAATTCATAGATTGCATTGTTCTATTGCATGGTGTTTTGGGAGGAGGGAGGGAGGGAAGGGGGAGCAACTGCCTACGCAGCCATAACACCCACTGCAACAGCCATCTTGTTAGAGAAGAAAAAAAAAAAAAAAAATAGATCCACATCGATTTATCTATGAATTTGCTGCATATTTCAACAGCATCATATCGGATTACAACGATTACATGAAAGCATCCATTTCAAAATGTAATCCATCTCTCGAGAGTTCAGGAGTTTTGTTCCTGCTCTGCAAGTCCGCTGGGAAGAGGCTCACTGAAGGTAGTTTAATCAAGGAAGACAAAACCAAACGATGAGAGGAGTTGCTAGACATTTTATAAACACAAACAGTCAACAAGATCCAATGTTCCTTAAATGACACGTATATTTATCACTCTTAACATTCATGAAATGTCACTGTGTGCACCTTGGCTCCTGCTTAATAATATTTTAATCTGAGCTTGTGTTAACAAAGAACAGGCTCACTCATCACGTTACATTTTGGTGACATTTCTTCTATATCTGCGGCAGTCTTATCATTACTAAGAAAGTTCAATGCTTTGTTTAAAGTCAGGAACAAGTATACAGACTCAGAGTCTTTGTGGGGTAATCCACAAGTTGGGTCACACATGATCAACAACAAAAATGAATATTGGATAAATGTAAACAACATCCACTCCCCTCTTCCGTGATTACAATAACAGAATAATTAAAAGTTGGGAATTTGGACTGACCTATTTTTGGCAAATTAAGATAACCCGGCCTCTTTATTTTAAACTATGGTAAAGGTTAGCCTGTTAAAAAAAATAAAAATAATAATAATGAAGTAAACAAAATAGAAAATTAAAAATGGAAAAACAGCAATAGAAACTAGACTATTTCACACACACACACAGACATTACTACCCCGATACATTCACCGATTATATGAAGGAGCACCTGCTTTCAAGGCCTATAATAAAATACAGCTGAGTTGAGGTTCTTCGATAGTCTATTGCCAAAAGGATTCTAATCTTGCTACAGAAAGAATTCACATAGGCTGTGAGGAGGATACTTCAACCCAAATGTAGACGTCTGCACGGTCTGTCTCTTCAATTATCCATCAAGGAACGTACCAACGCGTCGTGCATCATACTTTCCTCGTCAGTGTTGTAATCCTTGTGGAACGCAACAGCAAAAACGAGAAATTCGTTAGATATGGGTTTACAATTTAGAGAAAAAAAAACAAAGACTCTTCCATTCCATGTAAACGGATCCATATTTAAATTTAATTCATTAAAAAGCAATAGAGCAATTCTCTGGCATGTTCAAAACTGTACAACATTAACATAGACAATATATTAATTACTAACAATATAACCAAACAGATTTACAAGCATTAAAGACTATTTGCAATTGGTTTTAATTATCACTTTAAATGGTCTAAATTTTTCTCATTCTATCCATTTTTTTGCAGAGTGCGGTGTATTCTCATGGTACGTTAAGTTATAAATAGAGAAACCAGGTTGGATCTTGTATCACTTAAACTGTAAATATATGCAGTGACATTCAGCAAAGAACGATGTGATACCATTAGACATACAGTAAAGCTTTAATTGGAATCGTAGAATAGCAGACTTGGTTTTAGGGATTTGCAACCAGATCCATAGAATCGGTGCATGCCCTATTCATGAGTAATAGAAAATCAACAGCTGATCATTTATGTTTGACCAAACAATGGAAACATTTTGAGGGGCAATAAGTTATGTAGGGCATACAAGAATACATAAGGGTTCTCTTCACTTTATAATTAATTGGAGAGGACATAAACCTTTGGAGAATGTTACCAGAGCCACAAGGCTGATAAAGGAACGAGGGGTCATTTAATGTTTTCAGAAAGCCAGTGATAGGTGGGTTGCTTTGGATTTAACGAGGGAACATCGGTTTTACCACCAACAAGCCATACATACCACAAATGTGTCGTACGAGAAACGATGTCGGCGATGAACGTGCTCCATGAAATTAGCGCTCCTGTAATTTGGATCTCCCCATGGCATAGAGGCACAGATGGGGCACACCTAACAGGGAAAATGGAATGGTGTTGGTACCACAAAGAAGTTATGAAAAACCCACAAGACAAAAGCAAGATTTTTATCCCTGCTCCTAGACGTTATCCTCTAACGCCACTATCACTTTCTGTTCTTTCAAATATTTGCTTTTATTATCTCCAAAACTGTATGTTGTAACTCACTGAACCTCTTGTAAGCAATTAAAAATCCTTCCTAGATCAGCTTTCAGAATATCCACACATGGGTTATACTCCGCAAACTGCCAAAAAGTAGTCTAATATCACATGTGTTCTGTCATGAAAAATCCACTCCTAGGCCAATGTCACCATAATTCCCCTGCATCCCGAAACCATCATACTTCACAATTACCTTCTGCCATGACATAAACTAACTTGCCAGTCAGCCAATGCATTAGCATGTTCTTCCTTCACAAGTAACATATGCCTCGATACAACCTTTCTCCAATACTCTTCCCAAGTGAACTTAAACCAGACTCCATCTTCTTTCCAAACCTTCCTCTGAAATGTGTAGCACCTTATTATAGCGTTTAATGGTCTTGTTAAGCATACGTAAATAAATAGTGAATGGTTTCCAGGTGCCAAAAGACAGCAACTTGCTTGGCGTTTAACCAAGCCTAATATAAGAAGATCGGAGACTCTTACCACCGGTGTTGGGTCTGAGAAGTGATACTTTCTACAATGGTCTACAAGACCGTCCTGGTCAAGGTTGTGCTCTTTGCAGTATGGACATACAAAGGTGAATCTGTTTGGGACATTCCTACAGGACAGATTGAGAAAGAACCAAAATAAAATATCAGTGGTAAGTTAGGTAATGCAAAGACATTAAATGGCATCTTCTGGTAGAATTGGAAAAGGAATCCCAACGATGCGGAACATGCCTTGCAAACTGGTTACATAAACTGCTTTTACTGTATATAAATAATGCCTAAAATCAGCGGCACTTTTGACATTAGCCACGGCGTGTTCTTGGAAAGTGCGAACCATAACTGGCTGTCTGAAATCTGGATCAAGAAGTCAACGAAACTTGTGTTTCACATCACCTGGAAAATAGCACCACACACAGTATCTACAGCAACAGAATTGCAGACACCATGATGCAGAGATTATTGGAATCAGCAGAGGTGAAATGACCACTTACTTGGCATTAGGAGGCTGTTCCTTAGTCACAGATTTAATTCCTTCCATGACATAATTCTCGTATTTCGAACATGTGGCTGCATGCGCACGCAACTGTGAAATGAACATCTGTTGGCAATGACAGAGACGACAACTAATGTAGAGATTAAAAACAATTCACATATAAACAGCAGTCATTTCCTGATAACAGACTGCAGGACCTGGACACCAAGTTCTAGGACAGGCACTCCAGATGTTTTGGACTACACCTCCCAAGATGCTTTGCCAACATTATGGGTGTAAGCTCATTATGCGGGATGTAGTGCACAACATCTGGAGTGCCGAAGGTTGCCTATCCCTGTTCTAGTAGAGATCAAATGTTTTATTCAATCATGTGATCTAGGACACAAGTCTCCTGAGGTTCAACATGACATAAAATAAAAATCAATGTTTTCTCCAGTTTTAGCTTAGATCAAGGTTAAAAGTTATCCCCCAGCCTCACCAACAAAACAGAATATAAATCAATCGCTACTGTCCACACATCTCCACGATAGTGGCTTAGCCACTTATTAACTCACATATGCTAAAGCAGGGAGATCATGACATGCAAGCCTGTAGGTGGGCGAAAGGTCACAGATTTTGGAGAGTGGATTTGCCAGGTTTTGCCAGTGGAGGTTTAGCTATTGTACAAGGTAATTAAAAAACATACCGACCACCAATGGGACACTGAACGACAAACCAATTCATTCCACAAAAAAAATGGGTATTTTACATTTTATTCTGAATACTCATTTTGGTAATTGTAATTTTTTTCCAAAACATCTAGTGCATTCAGATAGAGTTAATCAAAAAAGGAAACAGAGGAAATCCGCAAAACAAGAGATATTAGAGAAGGAATTGGAACATCCGCTTTTTTACACTGTATCCAAAAGGTGGCAATCGAGTCAACAGAATGAATCCAAGTCTCTGTCAGCACATAAATAAAATAGATTTAAAGGAAACTCCCTTGGTTTATAAGAGATGGACTTTCCCTTGCTTGAAGAGAAAAAAAAAATAATGATGTTATTAGTCAGCACTGATGGGGAATGCTGAGACTGTTAATGACGTCTGGGAAATGTAGGGAGATTGCCAGTCGCTCACCCGAGCAAGGAGTGTTTGGTGGAGGGTCAGCATTATGAATTCTATATATTGGGGAAAGGGTACTCTGGTTTTAAGGGCCTTTCTACATTGAGAAACGTTTGTATTTAAAATTAGTTTTTCAAATAAAAGGGTGTTTCACAAGTGTGCACTAATCACTAAGCTGTGCATTGTGCTACCTTTGAGTTTATGGCGTCTGAATATTAGCTGATCAGACGGTTATTGACCCATCGAGGCTTGAACTGTTCAACTGCAGCGAATTAACAGGCCAAGAACAACATGATTGGTAAAGGAGATTTCAGATGCTTTTAAAACTAACTTAAAAAAAATAAATGAAATTTTCGTTATGTGTATGGTGTATAAAGTAAATATAAATATATATATCCACTGGAAAATCTGCAGCTTAGATTAGCCCATATCCCAGGAATATAGTGTTGATGTATATGTTGAAACATGTATCAGTGTCTAGCACATATTTCAAATATCAATCTATAGTAACAAACATTTCCCGATCAGATCTATCTTTGCACTTTAAAGAGCGACTCGATGGTTGAATAGAAGTCAAGGCATCCTTCAGCTTCATTTTCTCATTACCTTCTTTTTATTCCCCCCTGTTGTGCTCCCTTCTTCAAATACACGAGAATCACATGTTTACAAAGAAATGTTCTTTTTCATGTCTGTATCACATGCATCATGTCACCTAGCACTTACCACTTACCTTGGAATGTGCTTTACATGCAAATAATGTTCTGCTCAAACATATAATAATGTATAATATATCTATATATAAAACGCAATTGTTAAATTTGCAGCGAGTGTGTGTGTAGCTAGTCTGTGGCAAGTGACAGACCCCAACGATGCCCAGCTCACATAGTACTTACCTTCCTACTACAACCTTTACATGAAGTTTCAGTGGTCTCCATCTGTCTCTCCAGTTCCGCCTCCTTCCGGCCAGGAATTAATGGGCAGCGGCAAACGCCACACAAGGGGTTCTTCTGTTTCATGCATTGGTGCAGACAGGTGGAGCAAAATCTGCAAGGAAACATGAAGGCCACGGTTACTGGCTTACTCATGCAACACATACCATAGCGCTGCACAACTGGAGATCATACAGTATAAAACAAGGAAGACCAGGGCTCAGTTTGTGAGATCATGCAGGAAATGAAGGGAAAGTTACAGTACTGGTATTAACCACAATGCAGTAACTAATACAGTGATTTGGAATTAGTGACCTGCGGGCCAACAGCAGCAGTAGCAGGGTACACAGAAAATGTGCACACTTTATATTTCCCTAAAAAATCACCATAAAAGTGCCCTCTGCTCGCTAATCCCAAATTACAGGCATTACTGCTAATGTGCTGCCATCTACAGGTTAATCTAGGGCACTTGCTTCCGTACACTGTTTATTACAATCGTATTATATATTTATTTAAAACAGTACACCATCATCACTGCCAGGGATCTCACACTGAACAATCAGACCTTAAAGGGTCACTTCATGTCTCCTGGTCCTTTTGGACATCATCAAGCCTGTTACTGAAAAGGACAAAGTCCAAAACCCCTGATTGACACGCCAACACAAGCCTATTGTCAATGCGCTGATGAAGACATCCTAAAAGTAGTTGGTCCTTAATCAATTGCTTGTGTGGTTTTTATTAAAGATGAAGACAGGAAGTAATAAAACATGCAAATCTTCGCCGAAGAATAAATGAAGAACTGACTTTTTAACTGCGGAGAGGTAAGTCCCTCTGCTTCAAACTGAACAGATTTCCTATTTATAGACAAAGTGATATTAAAAGTCATCTCAATGAACGTCCCCAAAAAGTCATAAGGCGCTAAAATGTCTAAAAATTAAATGAGTATTTCCTCCAGTTTAAGGTGGAAAGTTATCCCGCAGCCTCATCAACAAAACAGAATATAAATCAATCGCTACTGTCCACACATCTCCACGATAGTGGCTTAGCCACTTATTAACTCACATATGCTAAAGCAGGGAGATCACTAAATGCAAGCCTTTACATGGGTGCTGAAGGACCAGTTTGGCTATTTTGGCATCAGATATTAAATTCCTGGTCAATTCTCCAAAATTGCCAGTGCAGTGAATAACTCCAATAATGGCACAAAAATGATGGTTGTGTACAGCGAAAGAAAAAAAATGAAATAATATCTTGGAGGGGTTGATGATGGTTCGTTTGGGTGCAGAATAAAAGAAAATCTACTAAATCGCATGTTAATTGACAAAAGCTAAATTTTAAGATTTATCATAACTAAGGAGGGCAAAATAAATAAGAATTGAAAATAAAATAAATAAATAAAAATAATAAAAAAAATAATAATCACACTTTCTGGCGATAGGGATTTGCAGGATTCAGTGGATCTAAATGTAAGACCCCCTTATATCACCCCAGTGATGTCACACTCCCCCAGTGATGTCAGACCCCCCAGTGATGTCACCTCCCCCCAGTGATGTCACTCCTTCCCCAGTGATGTCACCTCCCCCAGTGATGTCACCTCCCCAGTGATGTCACACTCCCCAGTTTATGTCACACTCCCCAGTTTATGTCCTCCCTCCTCAGTGATGCCACTCCCCAGTGATGTCACACTCCCTCCCCAGTGATGTCACACTCCCTCAGTGATGTCACCTCCCTCCCCCAGTGATGTCACCTCCCTCCCAGTGATGTCACCTCCCTCCCCCAGTGATGTCACACTCCCTCCCCAGTGATGTCACCTCCCTCCCCAGTGATGTCACACTCCCTCCCCCCAGTGATGTCACACTCCCTCCCCAGTGATGTCACACTCCCTCTCCCCAGTGATGTCACACTCCTCCCCAGTGATGTCACCTCCCCCCCAGTGATGTCTCCTCTCCCCAGTGTCACCCTCCCCAGTGATCCCAGTGACCCTCTCCCCAGTGATGTCACCCTCCCCAGTGATGTCACACTCCCCAGTGATGTCACACTCCCCCAGTGATGTCACATTCCCCAGGGATGTCAGACCCCCAGTGATGTCACACACTCCCCAGTGATGTCACACTCCCCCAGTGATGTCACATTCCCCAGTGATGTCAGACCCCCAGTGATGTCACATTTCCCAGTGATGTCAGACCCCCAGTGATGTCACTCCCCAGTGATGTCACACTTCCCCAGTGATGTCATTTCCCCCCAGTGATGTCACATCCCCCAGTGATGTCACACTCCCCAGTGATGTCACATTCCCCAGGGATGTCAGACCCCCCAGTGATGTCACACACTCCCCCCAGTGATGTCACACTCCCCCAGTTATGACGTGTACTGATCACATGATGCAGTCTGGGGATGACTCACACATGGCCGCATTTCACCCGGATTGGGGTCTCCAGGACCTCCAGGCAGATGGGGCACATGAACCTGTCCATGGGGTCGATATCCCGGGCGGCCCCGGCTCCCTGCCAGCGCTGCTGGTGCTGCTCCCCCGCCATGTCTACCTTCTCGCTTCCACTTCTACTTTCACCGAGCACTTCCGCAAACACCCGCTGACGTCACAGCCGTGCGTGCCAAACCTCGATCTGGCGCTGAGAGCTGGGTCACGTGACAAGCAGAGCCTAGGAATGCTGGGAGTTCACAGCCTGAGCGGGAAACACGTGCTCACAGTCAGGAGGTTCTCACTGATCAACCCCTAGCCTAGACTTTACACTATGATATAAAAAGGTTAATTAATTATTCAGATTATTATTGTGTTCTATAAACTATAATATACTATATTATCACACTATATAATACACTATATTATCACACTATATAATACTCTATATTATCACACTATATAATACTCTATATTATCACACTATATAATACACTATATTATCACACTATATAATACACTATATTATCACATTATTATCACAGTATATAATACACTATATTATCACACTATATAATACACTATATTATCACACTATATAATACACTATATTATCACACTATATAATACACTATATTATCACACTATATAATACTCTATATTATCACACTATATAATACACTATATTATCACACTATATAATACACTATATTATCACATTATTATCACAGTATATAATACACTATATTATCACACTATATAATACACTATATTATCACACTATATAATACACTATATTATCACACTATATAATACACTATATTATCACACTATATTATCACACTATATAATACACTATATTATCACACTATATAATACACTATATTATCACACTATTATCACACTATATAATACACTATATTATCACACTATATAATACACTATATTATCACACTATATAATACACTATATTATCACACTATATAATACACAATATTATCACTCTATATAATACACTATATTATCACACTATATAATACACTATATTATCACACTATGATCACACTGTATTTATCACACTATATATTAACTATATTTATCACACTGGATTTATCACACTATATTTATCACACCATATATTACACTTTGTTTATCGTACTGTATTTATCACACTATATATTACTGTGTATTTATCACACTATATATATACTGTATTGATCACACTATATATACACTGTATATATATCACACTATATATTACACTATATTTATCACACTAAATATTACACTTTGTTTATCGCACTGTATTTATCACACTATATATTACTGTGTATTTATCACACTATATATACACTGTATTGATCACACTATATATGCACTGTATATATCACACTATATATTACACTGTATATTACACTATATTATCGCACTATATAATACACTATATTATCACACTGTATATTACACTATATTATCACACTATATTATCACTATATTATCACACTGTATATCACACTATATTATCACACTATATAATACACTATATTATCACACTGTATATTACACAATATTATCACACTACAGGGAGTGCAGAATTATTAGGCAAATGAGTATTTTGACCACATCATCCTCTTTATGCATGTTGTCTTACTCCAAGCTGTATAGGCTCGAAAGCCTACTACCAATTAAGCATATTAGGTGATGTGCATCTCTGTAATGAGAAGGGGTGTGGTCTAATGACATCAACACCCTATATCAGGTGTGCATAATTATTAGGCAACTTCCTTTCCTTTGGCAAAATGGGTCAAAAGAAGGACTTGACAGGCTCAGAAAAGTCAAAAATAGTGAGATATCTTGCAGAGGGATGCAGCACTCTTAAAATTGCAAAGCTTCTGAAGCGTGATCATCGAACAATCAAGCGTTTCATTCAAAATAGTCAACAGGGTCGCAAGAAGCGTGTGGAAAAACCAAGGCGCAAAATAACTGCCCATGAACTGAGAAAAGTCAAGCGTGCAGCTGCCACGATGCCACTTGCCACCAGTTTGGCCATATTTCAGAGCTGCAACATCACTGGAGTGCCCAAAAGCACAAGGTGTGCAATACTCAGAGACATGGCCAAGGTAAGAAAGGCTGAAAGACGACCACCACTGAACAAGACACACAAGCTGAAACGTCAAGACTGGGCCAAGAAATATCTCAAGAATGATTTTTCTAAGGTTTTATGGACTGATGAAATGAGAGTGAGTCTTGATGGGCCAGATGGATGGGCCCGTGGCTGGATTGGTAAAGGGCAGAGAGCTCCAGTCCGACTCAGACGCCAGCAAGGTGGAGGTGGAGTACTGGTTTGGGCTGGTATCATCAAAGATGAGCTTGTGGGGCCTTTTCGGGTTGAGGATGGAGTCAAGCTCAACTCCCAGTCCTACTGCCAGTTCCTGAAAGACACCTTCTTCAAGCAGTGGTACAGGAAGAAGTCTGCATCCTTCAAGAAAACATGATTTTCATGCAGGACAATGCTCCATCACACGCGTCCAAGTACTCCACAGCGTGGCTGGCAAGAAAGGGTATAAAAGAAGAAAATCTAATGACATGGCCTCCTTGTTCACCTGATTTGAACCCCATTGAGAACCTGTGGTCCATCATCAAATGTGAGATTTACAAGGAGGGAAAACAGTACACCTCTCTGAACAGTGTCTGGGAGGCTGTGGTTGCTGCTGCACGCAATGTTGATGGTGAACAGATCAAAACACTGACAGAATCCATGGATGGCAGGCTTTTGAGTGTCCTTGCAAAGAAAGGTGGCTATATTGGTCACTGAAGTGGAAAAATCAATTAAAGTATTGATTATTTCTTTGTGTATCTGCCCCTGGCCAAATCAATGAAACAATGCGTGCACGCTCCCTGAAGTAATTCACACCAGACACAGGTTCCAGGTTGTTGAATAACTTGAGGAAAGTTTATTCAGAGGGGACGGCAAGTCCCTTTTAAAGCAAAATTACATCATATGCATTGTCAGAGATAACATGGAATAATACATCAATAATTGGTTAGGTGTTAAGTGCTTGCTCTAATGCTCTGCCTACTGTAGGTGATGTCACCGGGGCCATGAGGGTCTCCCACGGTTTCCCGGCGCCATCTTGATGCACGAGGTAGTTAGTCGACGTTAGGAGGGGAAGGGAGGGGGAAGGAGGGATTAGAAGCTTCTAGCAGCCATCTTGATTAAAATATGTGTGCTTAGCTTTATACGTGATATATATCATGAAATGAGTAAATAGACATTTTCTCTATCTAGGAAATATGTGCAGACCTTATTTCCACAACAGTCCCCTCTAAAATGGCTATTTACCATAACAACTGCCGCTGTCCCTAATATGTCCCTAGTTGCCCGCAACCTATCTGTCTTGACAAGTATCGAACGCTTCACTCCGCGGGTATCCCGCAGTGGCTAACCCACTACATCTCCACACGTGAGATTCACCTGTCAAGACAGACGCTTTCCCTACTCTATCCCTATAGAAAGGCAGTTGTCTGTTTAAACTGATGTGTTTGTAGGGGTGTATGTGGGGTGTCATCTTCGAGGTCTGTGATATCTTGATGTAGGAAGGTAGGGGTCACGTTATCTACAGTCTTATCTACTGCTTTCTGCAGATATTTCTGTATGCAGGGGAGTATGCAACAGGCTAAAAACAAGAAGATAATGAACACTAAAAGAACAGCTGTCCCCACCTGGAAGAGGGTCTTTTGCCAGCCATTCATCCACCCAAACCATTTGTCCCATATGTCAGTGGCTCCCGAATTCTTCTTTAATTCGTCTGCAAGACTATCTAGCTTCTCTATGGCCATAGTCACCTTACCATTGGGCCCAGTGTTGTCTGGAATGTATGTGCAACATGTCATGGTTTCAGGGAGGATTTTACATACCCCCCCTTTCTCAGCTAAAATCATATCTAGGGCCATTCTGTTCTGAAATGTCATTTGGGTTGTGGCTTGTAACTGTTCTGCTAGGCCCTGTAGGGCATCCCTTGTATAATTGACAAAGCGCTGCTGATTATAATAGATGTAGTTGATCCAATTGACATTTTTGTTAGCAGTTATCATTGGAATTAGGGATTCAAACCCTGCAGCTACTTCATCTCTTGCTTTGAATTCGTTGGGCACCCCCCTAGGCACACCTATGGCATCAATATATACATGGGGGTCGAAACTCCCTCGGATAGGAGCCTCTCGTTTGGTTCTAGAGTATATATGCGTAAGATTTAAAGTGTTATGACTACCATCTGGGATAATGTGGATAGGCATTATGACTTTGGTTAGGGCACACTCCCCCCACCATTGCCCAACTAATTGGGATCTCAATTGTTTGTCACCACATAACCAATAGATATCACCGATTGTCTTTGTGTGATTCATTAGCAGTGATACAGGTGGACTATGGTAAGTTGAGCAGTATCCTGATGGGAATTTGCCTAGATACAAACCAGTGTTCTTAGGCATTGAATAGCACGTGTAATTACCTGGGTAGATGGTGACTCCATCAGGTGGTTTCACATGTCCATGGGTGATTGGGTAAACCTTCTTCCAGGATTCACATGTTGAGGAGTTAGTGATAGATTGCGCATACAAACTCAGTACACATGATTCTATTTCGGGGGGTAAGCTCAGAGGTACTGTGCCCAGATGGGGCCTGGCACCTCCACATACATAACAATTAGTCTTATTGTGTGAGTTAGCGTTATACCTCATCCATTCTAACCACAAATTAGTGTCTGAAAACCCCGTTTCCACTGCCATGGTATCTTCAAAAGTGGGGTTAGCTATGGCCACCATGTCATGTAGGGTCTTGATATGTGGTTTCAATGGGTTAATGACCATATGTGTGGTTCCCACCCAGTCAGAAGAATTTAGCATATCTTGCAGGTAAAAGGTCCCTAATGCGTTATGTGATCCGCCTCCCTTCCAGTACATTCCCATCACATACTCCCCTGCATCCCTTGGGCTAGGGTGTTCTATATTCAGGGTGAGTTTAATGGGAGTTGACCCTATGGGTTTACTCAGGGTCATTCTAGAGAGTAAGGGTTTCCCATCTTTGTCAAGTTTGTCTAATGCTACTTGAGGTCTGTAACCCCATGGTCTACCTGTGTTCCACCCGGCAGCTTTCCATGAACTACAATGGTGACCCCAAACTCCTCCAGTCACACAAATGTATGGATCCTTTTTGTTAGGTATGTCCTTATATATAGCTGC